CGTGGTTGCGGCGGTATGGCATGTGGTCTCAAGACTTGATCAATGTACAAGCTGCTGTAACACCATTGTCTCTCCCAGGACCGATGTTCTGGAAGACCACCGGGCTGACCCTCTGTGGAAGACCAATTCAACCCCACACCATGATGCTCGGACCACCCCACGAGTCTCTCTAAACAACACAAGCATCCGAATAACGTTCCCCCACTGCGTCGCCAGACTCTCACTCTCTCTCTCTCTCTCTCTCTCTCTCTCTCTCTCTCTCTCTCTCTCTCTCTCTGTGTCATCTGCTGTTTGGATACAGTAACGGCTCTCGTCTGAGAAAGGGACTCTTCTTCACTGTTGGTGGAGCCATTGCTGGTGCTGTGTTGCCCACTGAAGACGGTCCCGGCGAGGACGTGGTGTCAGAATGGGTCCTCGGTGTGGCCTGTGACAGTGGAGGTATCTGCTCGTCAATCGTCAACGCACGGTGTCCGCACTAATGTGTCGCTGGTGTGTCCCAATGGTCTGTCGAGCAGTTTCCGCAGCGGTAACAAAGCGATCTTGACGATGCTGTCGCACAATCTGACGATCCTGACGTCGGGTGGTGACCCTTGGTCTTCCACTACGTGGTCGGTCATCTATAGTGTTGTGGTCTGGTACCGTTTCTGGAGCCTGTATATGGCGACAAGGGCTAGGTGTCGCTGTTTTTTTGTCAATCTTGGCATGTGGTAGCAATTCAATAACGAATGAATGTTATCCGATCTGGGTGGATTTTTATAGGGCAAGAAATGGGGGAACGCATGTGCATTTCAATTTGCACGGAACTCACGTGCATAGGGTTACCATGGCTGTTGCCATGATGCGTTTGGGTGATCGTTTTATTGTCATCTGCTTTGTTTTTTCATCATCAAATATCATTTTTCCGGACAAGGCAATGTTAAATTTTAGAAACTTTGACAAAAATTACCCAGATATTTAAATGGCAACTTTTTATGCAGTGTTACTTTGGGTTACGTTTCTTTTGCGGTTCAGTATATGATTGTTACCCGAAAATAGACCACTCTCCGTCCGTGTAATTGGGTAACTGGGTAAATGCTCTTCATGAGAATACTCGTCATGCTAATAGAATCAACGAGTAAAAGGACTGTGTCACATTTTTAAGGACTGTATGATACAGACACAGTTGTCATTCGCTAAAGGAGCAAGACATTACAACAGCAGGATGTATGACATTGTGTTGGATACGTATTGCTTGGTTCATATAGTCGTAGCATACAAGCAATACCCTAATACAACAATGAAGACCGTCATCTAATATATTGTCACAGGGCAGTTCAAATACAACGTCATTGGTAACTGTGCTGAGTGCAGCATTAAACAACAAACAAACAACTCCACACGTCGATATTAGCCAAGGTTTTAATCGATCTGGGCAGTGTTGGCCACCTTTGAGGTACGCCTTCATGCGCATATGCACACAACTTCTTGATAAGTTGTCAAATTTCATAAAAATCAACTATTTTCCAAAGCTTAAAGGGGCACTGATCTAAAGTAATTCCCCGGGACTGGTTGTTGCCTTTGTTATTGTTTTTTCCCAGTGAGTACCCGGATGAAGAGCAGAAATCTAGAATAGTTCGCGACCTCTGCTGCGCTATTCGTAAGCGCATTAGTCATTTTTATGGGTAGTAATAAGGGCGTATGGTCACATTGATCAACAAAATGAAATACAGTTTTCGAGATAATAAGGAAATGTAGGTATCTTTGTGGGTAGCATCGGTAATGATGACGAAGTTTTGATATGTCACTTGCTTGGTAATTTTTCGGTTTTCGTTTACACTATTTTGACTTGCAACACAAAGTAAATATTTTACCTGAGCATTGCTTTTTTTATAGTGTGTATATCTTTTTACTGTCAAAATGTGTAACATTTTCAAATTTATTAAACGCCTAAATATTCAGTTATTTTACAAAGTGACTGAAAAACATTTCCATCTGTATTATTATGATAACGAATTCCAAACATTTTGATGTTTAATGTCATCACCAAGAGACTGAAAATGTTACTTTGAAAAGTACATTTCTATGTTGTTTGGCTTCTCATCCTACATAATAATCTGTTGTGATGTTTTTAGGCCCGTTGGATCGTCTTAATCAATTTTAGTCAATCTGGACAGATTTTTCAGTCAAAATGCCTGAAATATTTACACATTTTATAAATTGCCTGAGAGAATCACATTTTACAAATTGACGGTAATATATACACGCTTACAAAGGAAAAGACTCGTGAAAACAACGTCTATCGCGCATTGAAGAATTTCCCAAACAAGATGTAGAGGAACAAGAACGAATCGGTTCAATGCTACAGCAAATGAAGGAAAACAAAATGCAAATACCATAATTACTACCAAATTTATGTGTATAAATTTTAGGCAGCTTCCTTGTTCGAGGAATGTATCCGTAAATATCCACACAAAGGAACAATATCCTACTCGTCTGCAGCTGTACAAAGAAACTTATTCGATGTCACCTGTCTCTGTAACAATCAAATATTTTAAAAGATATATATCGTTTCGGGATAATTATAACCCGTGTTCGTTTCTCAACTGATCACTTAGATTGTTTCAGGTGTTTCACATAGGTGTCAAGTCTCAAGGGTCGGCTGAGAAAGCCCACATGACAACTATTTTCATAACGTCCACGGTTCCTAAAAAATCCATTGAGCGATAGATAACAATGAGCAATCAATCAACGTATTATCAGTTAACCCTTTGAACAAAGTATGTTGTTTTTACATCGGCACTTCATGCCATGATATGAGTATTCCCTTTGTTTTAGTAAACCTAGACATGTAAACAATCACTTTTGACATATCCACTGTGCAAGATAACAGTGATCAATCAATCAACGTATTTTCTGTTAATCCTTTGATGACTAGGAACGATCCGTTGATTTACAAAAAAAGAAAATCAACTGATCATTCACCTCTTGCAGAGCTGCCACGCGCATATTACATAACACACATTTCACCTCACTTCAAACCTGTATTTAGATTGAATAATTACCCCAGACACAATAAATGCCAAATGGGAACCTTTGTCAGGTAATCTAAGTGGTGCTACCACTAATTATACCCGTAATAAATTCATTAACAGAGCATCAAGTGAATGACGACAAATACACAAGTGTAGGGTTATACCAGAAAACGTGGATGACAACAAGGGAGTAGTAATCGTATTATCGACGCCATCCGAAATCCGAAAATGCTTTCACTGCATGGATACTTTTTTTAATTATTAAACAACAACCATCAGGTGTATTTCCAAATGACGACATCCGATGAGCTCCGCCGTTCTTTTTGTCTGTTTGTTTAGGCTGAAGAAATTAATTAACATGCGCCCTTTGTCGAAATCTTTATAGATCACAGTTAACCAATCAGTGTTCAAAAATGCGTAAAACAAATATAAGTGATTGACAAAATGAGCACACATTTACGCAACTGGGATTCGATCACAACCATCAATCAAGTCACCTAGCCTGACCCCGTTAGTCGCCTCTTTCGACAAGCCTGAGTTGTGAAGACCAATTGTAACCCGGATGTTCATGGCAAATATACTCTTAAAAAAAACCACCTTTTGCCAAATATCTAAAATAATTACATTAAATGAGAACCAAATAAGCCAAACAAAAAGATGATGTGTCTATAATTCGCGAAAACACATGCAAAGCACATAAACGTAGCGTTTGGGGATCAATTTTACAGCTTCACCCAAAAGCAACCGCCTGTAAAAAACGAGCAGCACAGGATCCTGCATTTAGGGATGCAGGCCCCCCTGCTGAATGGGTATGAACATCCACATCAACGGCTGTTCATACAGTCATTATAACGGCAGCAGAGGCGGTGACAGAATGCCAAGACTGAATGCAGCTCAACGGAACAACGTCATTGGGAGATTACAAGCTGGAGCAATTCAGCAAGAAGTGGCCAGGCACTTTGGCGTATCTAGACAGACAATCTCCGCACTGTGGACCCGATACAACAACACCAACAGAGTTGACTTCAGACCAAGGTCGATACATCCGGCTGCGACACCTCCGAGACCGCACTACCACAGCCACGTCTACAACCACACAGATCCCTGGGGTACGCAGAATATCAGATCAAACGGTACGCAACAGACTGAGGAAGGCTGGACTTTTTGCACGAAGACCTGTTCGACATCATGTATTGACCCCACGTCATCTGGCGGACCGTCTGCTTTGGTGCCAACAGAGGGTTAGATGGGCACGTGCAAGGTGGAGAAATGTACTGTTTACTGACGAGTCCCGTTTCCTACTCACGCGTGCTGATGGGCGCGCACGTGTCTACAGACGTCGGGGTGAACGTTACGCCCCCAACTGTGTGCAGCAGGTCCCATTTGGCGGCGGGAGTGGCATGGTATGGGCCGGAATTCATCACGGTGGTAGGACGCCTCTCGTGCATGTGGCAGGTGCATTTGCAGGTGTGCGTTACAGAGACTTGATCCTACAGCCTTACGTTCTTCCTCACGTCAACGTTCATGGCGGACAGTTCCAGCAGGACAACGCTCGACCGCATATTGCACGTGTTTGTCAGGACTTCTTACAGCACAACAACATCCAGACATTACCTTGGCCAGCCCGGTCACCAGATTTGTCCCCGATTGAGCATCTGTGGGACGAGTTGGATCGACGCGTTCGCAGAAGGAATCCACCGCCCCAAACACTTCCGGCGCTTCTTGATGCACTTCAGCGTGAATTGCAGCCCATCCAACAGCGTGTTATTGACAACTTGATTGCATCTATGGGTCGTCGGTGTCAAGCGGTGATTGATGCACGTGGTGGGCAAACCGATACTGACATTTTCTGAACCCCTGTGACATTAACTGCATCGTGTACGTGTGTCTGTCTAGGTGACACGATTAATGTTTTGAACATTGTGTACATTGGTCTTCAAACAGTGTTTCAATTATGGTTTCTGTGTCCTATTTTGAAACAATCGCATTATATTACATTTTGAAAGTCAGTGTCAAGTTTCTTTTTTTAAGAGTATATATCAATTTTAGTTATATCCACACAAATGACATCCTTTCATTAGGGTACTGTTTTTAACATCAGTGAAGGTAACAGAGCCGTCGGCCGAGTACATGGAACGTCTCCTTGCACAATTAATCCAACCACACGCATAGTTCTTTGGCGGCATGTGATTGGCGTTTACCAACTTATGATTACACCAAGCATTGGCACTTTTACCGGATTCAAAAATACCTTCTTTTGTCGTCATATGAATTGCAGTCACAGTCTTCGTGACGTCATAAAGGGTCACGTTATTCGCTCGCGCATATGCCACAATCCACATTCCGAATCCTACTCGTCCAATGACAATCTCTGGTACGCGATCCCACGGAAACAGGTGATTCGTGAAGAAGAAGTCAGAAGAACCCTCTCCGGGGTAGCGTCCACGTGATGCGTGACCTTTCACCTGACTGACGTCGGTGACAGTGACGTTGCCCTTCATGTCCACGTTCGTCCTCTTACCCAACACCATCACAGGCCGTGACCTCAATACATCCCTCTCCTGTTTAACAAGTGCCTGCATTGTGGTAAGCAGGCCATCGTCAAAAACCAGATCACCGTTTGCAAACCCAAATAGGTCTGCGGTTCCTTTATACTGTGCGATAATGTCATTGAACATGCCTCTCAGAGTGGGCATGCTGGTATTGCCACACCCTGTCTCCCCCACCCCCCTCACCTGCCACCCGGACTTCTCAGCGTTCAGCCTTGCACCCGGGTCGTCCGTCAGCAACACTGGTTTGATGTGCGTCAGCCAGGTCCGCCATGTTCCAAGCACACTACGCTGCACGTGCTCTTTCCCCTTTTTGTTAATCCACGTGGAGAAAAGCACGAGCAAGACATGCTCCGAGGTACCTGAGATTGTCCGGACTTTGTCCTGCTCTCCGGACTGTGGACTTCCGTCACGGTGTTCTTTCTTATGTGTGTCGACCAGCACCATGGTATTTTGTTTCATGGGCTTATTTCTGCTTGAAGCAATGTACAGAACAGTTGTTATCACACATGCCAACCACAACATTGCGACAAGCTTTGACCTGGTGATGTATCCTAGCATACTTGCTTTCCTGACTGACTGGACTAAAGAGACGTCTGTTGAAGGTGTCCTGCTGGGCTATGATATCCAGGCAAGCAGCTGAAACAGTAGGAACGGATTGTGTACGACTAACTTTGACTTTCATAATGACTGACGGTACAAGGTCACCTGGCCACCTCGGCATTGTATTGTTGTGAACCAGAAAGATATTGTATAGGAAATGACAACTGCAGATGAATTCATGAGTTAGTGAGTGAGTTGGGTTTTACGCCCTTTAAGCATTATTTCAGCAATGGGAAAACATTCCAGCATTTTAACGAGCTGGGGATAAACAACTGTAGAGCCATGTTATTCTGTGCTAAAAGTTACAGACCGCCGTCGTATAGCGGGGATATTGATGATTGCGGTGTTAAACAACAAACAAAGCAACACGTCGGTCGCCATGTCTGTGTGCCATTACATCTGTATTTATCATAACGTAACTTCTAACCAATAGTGTTATAGGTCATTGTAAATCCCATATGGCATACATCCTCGGTTATCCAGTGTACTATAGGCTTGCCGTGTTCTATCGTGATAAATCGTGTGGCTGAGAGGTATTTTTAACGTTATCGTGTGTATAAAATATATGCGAGGGTCGGCGCCAGGCAATAAATACTTATTTTTATGAAATTGTGTGAATGACAGTTTAAATGGGAAGGACAGAACAGTTTTCCCTTTTCGCGAAGACCTGGTGTCATCGATGATTTTTAGTGGTCCATTCCTATAGTTTTCACAGCTATTTTGCCCTCATGGAATCTGTTTCGTGGGATAATCAAGACTTGTATTGGCGTTTTACATTTACTATTGACATTTTCAGGTCAAAACGAAGAGAAAGAGAATATTGCACAAAAGATGCCATACTTTTAATTCCCATGTATTTGCATTCACAGAAAACGTAGAAAATCCAATGCTTGGATGTAAACTGCCGGGCAAACACCCGTCACAAATACAGCACCATCGAATCACCATTTCTTGATTGGTTCAGTTTTAGTAGACATGGGTGTATACTTTCTTTTGACCTGCAGTTTATGTGATAGTCAAATACCATCACAGCGACAAACATAAGTGTACGCCATACCGTGTATGTGTCGTTCTACTTAGGAACCGACCATTTGGTATCCTGGGGGCTGGGGTTTTAGCGAAAAAAACACCCCCCAAATTGTCCCCAACAATTCTTGAAAAACATAATTAAGCTTTAAACTGATGAACAAAAACATTGCCTACCACGAAAAATACATTGTCGCAACGTGTTTTTCTTTTTAAAACTTCAGGCTCATAACTTTGAATAAAAATATACCTGGTTTTGAAGCTGTCGCTGGAATAATGTATCGCCCCTATTCGCAACGGTCTTTCTGCAGCACATCATAGTGTGACACTATACAATCAATACATGACACGTCATATATATTCGTCCATCACATTGTATTTCAATGACAGCAAAACGACTATATTAGCCTATATGGGCTTGTCATTAAACGTACATACAGAACAGTCTGTCAGGTAAATATAGAAAGTTAACTTACATTTCTTGGTCAGGGAAATTAGACATGAATATGTGTCTAATCTTACTTGCTCATCAACAGCACTGTGTGCGTGTTACCCCGTTTGAAGATATTCTACTATCACAAAGATCTCCCCGGGACGATAGTTTTCACGTGAACTCAACGCCTAGGTTAGAATGAGCCATCTAACGCCATCGCCATAGGTAGAGATGTTCTACCACATGCGAGAAGAGGTCCGGGGTTAATATGTGTCCTGCGGGTGTCACGGTATAAACTCTCCCCCGTACAAATTCTCCCCCCGGAGATTTTATACCGGTACAGATTCTCCCCCGGAGAATCTGTTCTGAAATAAAATCTCCCCCGGGCGGATATATTTCGCGCCCCCCTGAGTATAAACTCCACGCATTGTGGAATGTGTCATCTTCCCGAGGCAAGAGAGTTAACTGACTATAAAAGTCCAGTTTTCACCCTTGCCGAACTAGGCTGGTATTATGGAGTTACATTTTGGCTGGGCTAACGAGTCTATGCATAGTCCAATCAAAATCGCGCACCGAAATCGAAATCCGGTTTGTAAAATGTCGTGCAGATTTCTGTCGATTGCAGGATTTGCAAAGCATGTGCACCGCCAACCCGTTGTCAACAGATATTTTCCGAGTCTTTTCATGTTTTTAATCAAGGTGCTCACGTGATTTGATGCACTTCGCTATGTAAGACCCGTTTTATCACAATATAGATCTTGATTATCAATCAGATCGTTTTGACTGGGCGCCACCATTTTGTTTGAAACAAATGCAAGTGATACGAGAGGTGGAATCTGATTGGTCCATAGGAGAGGCTTAGAAGGAACATAACTCGTAATAACCACTGGTGGCGCTACGGTCGAGCCCAGGAATTCCAGCCTAGTTCGGCAAGGGTGGAAACTTGACTTTTATAGTCAGTTAACTCCCTTGCCTCGGGAAGACGGGAATGTGTGGAATGTGAACTGAAGTCCATGGAACTGTGTGTCGGTTGTTGTTGTTAGTTAGAACTCGTTTGAATGACTTTGATGCGTGAATCCATATTCTAAAAAAAACCAAGTCACCATTTTTTAGGTTTAGTTTTAATACCAAACTTGTTAATACTATGCTCACAAAATTTCATGCTTACTTAGTTCTCCAACTTCTAAATGCCTATCAAAGAAGAAAAAAATACATGTGCTCTAACACATTGAAGAATATATCTATTCCTTAAGCCTACATGATCCTCAAAGATGTATCAATATTCCGAATGTGTTGAGGAGAATATGTGAATATGTGGAGTCGCTGGGATCAGGTTTTTGTATTTAGCATCCTTGATGAGCTCGAGGGCCCGGTGTATGGTCACTGTTCTTATTATTTACCATAAATACATAGACCGGTGAAGATCCGGGTTAGAATTAATCTTCAGCAACCCACGCTTGCCTTAAAAGGCGACTGTGCTTGTCATAAGAGGCGACTATCCGGATCGGGTGGTCAGGCTCGCTGTCTTGGTTGATGCATGTCATCGTATCCCAATGCGTGGATCGATGCTCATGATGTCAATCACTGTCTTAAGCGACATGATGGAGTGGCGCGAACCTCCTAGTACTGTCTCCGCCATGCTTGAGGTTTTGACACAGAGGTCCATCCATGGTCCGACCCAGAATATGTAGAGGGCGTCATGGAAAATGATAAATACAAAATTCTTTGGAATAGGCCTTTATACAGCCCCAGACCTATCCAGGCCAACAAATCCGATCTTGTCTTTTTTTGATAAATCCAAGAAAAGTATTTATATCATTATATTTTCTGTCCCGTTTGACACTAATGTGATTGACAAGATTCAGGAAAAACATGGCAAATATGCGTACCTCGCTTTCCAAAAGTCACGCTTGCATCCCAAGTACCAAGTTGTCCGACTCCCAATTGTTGTCGATGCCTTAAGTTTGGTACCATCCCAATCTGTTGACTGACACTGGGAGAGTACCCGGCTTTGCTGCCGGGAATACCGCCCTTCTGACAACCTGGGTAATGCAGAAGGCTGCAGTGTTAGGGAGTCAGGAATTGTTGTTATTGATCTTGTCACTTCTTCAGTATTAAAACTGACGGGCTAGGCTTGGACAAATCGGCAAGCCCAGTAAAGGCTTTTGATTGTCTGCTAACTCACACGTTTATGATGCATACCACTCCAATAACCTAACGATTACCCTAATTAAACAGAGACAATGTTTAGAACTAGATTCAAAACGGACAACAGACCTTAAAGCGTTGTCTCTTTTTAAGCAGTCAGGGCCAGTTGATAAAATGTACGCCACGTTTAGATGATGTTAGTTTGAGGAGTATGATTTTACGCTAATATTCCAGCAATATCACTGCGGGGGACACCAGATATGTGCTTCACGCAATGAACCTCTGTGGCAATGGAACACGGGCCTGTGGCGTAATGAGCGATCGCTTTAACCACTAGGCTACCCGACCTCTCTTTATAACCACTAGACGACCCCGCCTCTCTTTATATGAGACAGCATAAACGTACAGAATATGACTGTCATGGAAATTTGAACGCATGCATAAATTGAATATACAAGATCACTGTCACCAACCACTTCCTATCAGGGACATCACGACATGGGTGACAAGATCTACCCTCGGGCGTATCACGGCCTTGCCATTGTGCCAAGGGCGCATTGTTGTGTTTACAACTCACTGGGTCTGCTACAGTTATATAACAACGCGTCTTAATTGTTAAGTGTTAGAATACAGGCAAACTGAACTGTAGACAGTATTAGAAATCTTGTATATACGCCATCGTAGATTTTCCACTCATATAAACTGCCAGGCAAAAGAAAATAAACACCCGAGTTTAATGGTGGCTAAAAATTAACAAACAAGAAATGGTTGTTCATTGTGATGTAATGGATACGGGTATCATACACGGTATTGCATGTATCCTATCAGTGAGTATCTCACAACACGTGACGTGCACGTGACGTCTAAAGGAACATGGGGGTCACAATTTCACAGAACACCGTAAGGAGCAGAGTGAAGTGGGCATTTTCAAATGTTTATTTTCTTTTACCCGGCAGTTCAGGGTTCAACTCACTGTCGCAACAAGTCTGGCGACGACGATATTCCAATGAATCACTAAATATACTTGAAACAAAACAAAACAAAACGTTAGATCGGCGAAAAAGCCGCGTTCTGTCAACTCGTTTGAACTTATGACAGTCCAAAGAAACATTGTAACATAGTTATACAAACTGTAATCCAAAATGACAAAACCCATATTTCCATATTTGTAAGAGATCTCTGCCAAAAACAGCATCGATGGTACGATTCCGACTATATCATGAACATGTGTTTATTGAAATCAATCATTATCAACAGTGATGAAACCGTGTGTTCGTGAAAAGGTGAGCCTATCCTTCCCAGGCCGTCACGAACACATGCAAATGGAAGTCACTTGTTCACCTGGAACATTTGGTACAATTTAAACTAGGGAATTCAGAAAACATTTTTGTCACTGATGCGTCAAATTTGGAAATGTCCTTCCAATATC